TGAGGATATGGCCAGTGGCAGATTCACCCCCAGTTTTGCTAGTGGTTCCCTGAACAGCAGGATGGAGGAAGACAAGCAGCTCATCAACCAGCTCCTTCTGCACTTTTGTTCATCCGGCAGCAGCGCCCCCAAGTGCAAGGTATTGGCATAGCAGCAGTTGTTTTCTGATTACTGGCAGCTTATTTGGTTTATTTTTTATGAGTAATACTGGGATCAAAATTTTCTTTATGTAGTCTCTCTGGGGCAAATTGTTTTGCTTTTATACGTTTAATCCAAAGCATTTTTAAAGAAAGGAACAAAAGCAATTGATCAAACAGACAAAGGTATTCGTAACACAGTGAGAGGTGTATTGGACCATTAAATAAGTAACAGATTTCTAAAAGAAATAATGTTACCCTGACAAAAAAGTCCTCTTTTTCCCTGCAGGCTGTAGTTCATGGTCCCAGCAGCCCACACAAGGTGAACTTTCACAGCATGAGCAAAGTCAGCAACTTCAGGTAAAAGCATTTGCTGGCTCAAAGATCAGATCAGACAGGTTTCCTTTCAGAATTGTATAGGTTTGGTTTGGTCTGGTCTGCAGGTCTGTCAACATTGAGAGAGACAGTATTAACTGTGTAATGGTGAATGAGAATCCACAGGACTGGCATGAGAGGATGCTGGTGGCTGCAAGTGTGTCTCTCAGTGCCTCAGGTGAGCACGCCATCACACAAGATAATAATTGTTTAGCTGTGTCAATGGAAATATTCTGTACTTCATAAACTGATAATTATTAAATAATTGGGTTTTAATAATGTTTCAAAATATAAAATTTTTACTTTATTAATAGTTATAGCATAAGAAACCTAAACAAAATAAAACCACTTAATAAAAAAAAAAAACTTAAACTAAACAAAACAAAGATTTCATATAATTGAATGAATTTATTATAATATGACAGTGATGTCAATTTAACACAGCTGGTAAGGTTAGTTGTAGTATGGTAGCCCTAAATTTTATGTTGTTTTTATACATGTGCAGGTTCTCGAATCTTGCTGAAGGAAACCTCTCTGATGCCTCACATCCATGGCCTTCCCTCCCTCGTGACGATGCTCTTTACCCCTGTCATGGAACTGCGGTAACATGCAAGATTTTACATCAGTTTTTTAAGAACAAAATAACCTGTAGACTGGTTTATAACATTTGCTTAGAAACCTTCCTAAATGTGAACATACACCAGAATAAATGTCAATTTCTTTATTAATGATTATGGCTAGTTTGATATGTCAAATCATATGATAAAAGTTGACTTAATTGAACCACTTTAAATTAAGTTAATATGTTTACTTAGAATTTACAAGGTGTGCACGCTCTCCCATCAAGTATGTTTTTTTAAGCTTTATAACTTGTGCTTGAGAAATGGCATACTCACCTTTACTCCCCATTTTGTGCATTTTTGAATGAAACATGGTCTTTGAATAATGATGTTCATTTAGTCTCATGAGTCACAATAATCAGTTCATGCCAACTGTACCACATTTTCACAACCACAAGGTGTTAAATCTTGTGTACAAAAAACTCACCTTACATGGTTAGTCATGAAATTGCAGGCCACACTTATACTTCATTTGAATGTAAAAATCAGCATTTAATGCATGCACACTTCCTTTGCAGTACTAATGAGGACAGGACCTGCTTTACTGGAGCTCTGTGTGGACTGGGCTGGAACTCTGTTTCCCAAGAGGCAGTGCTTCCTGAACATGACATTGAGATTGCATTTGACGTCAAGTTTGAAATTGAAGACATCACAGAGGTATGTTTTGATATACGAGTGTGCGTATTTCTGTGTGTAGGCTGAGGAGATTATTAGTGTGGCAATGAAATAAACATTCTGGAAAGACAATAATATTTGACACTGTATATGGCCAGAAAGCACAACTCAAGTAAATCAAAAATATTTAAATGTTTTTTCCAGAACATTTGACTTTGACTTTTTAACTTTAAAAAAATGTCAGTACAGCATCACTCAAGTAACTCCATTCTAAACAAAGAAACCATTCAGTTAAATAAAGCTCTACTCCAAGTACACCACACAACGGTTAATGCAAAAAACTCCCCATATATTCAGAAACACTGTACATTAAGAAACCAGGTAAATTTCCTTGTAGAATGTAGCCATTTAGGTAGAGAAGTTCACTTCAAATTACTAATTGTAAGCCAGGGGTTCTCAATCTCGGTCCTGAAGGTCTGGTGTCCTGCAGATTTAAGCTTCAACCCCAATCAGACACACCTGGGCTAGCTAATCAAGCTCTTATGCTGCGGTCACACTGAACTTTTCTCCCCATAGACCTCCATTCATACGCACGTGAATGCGTCAGACCAGAAACGCAAGTTCATGCATCAAGTTTCGCAGATTACTGCATTTAAAAGTTCAAGCTTGGTGAACTCTGACCTGCAAAATCGCATCACTTGACTGCGTGAGACCATTCGAGGATCAAAACATGACCTCTGTATGGACCAATCCCCTCCCCTTTTCACAGCGCCGTACGACAGAATTCCCAAACTCAAACTGTAGTGTGATCACAGCTACACTAGGCTTTCTAGAAACATCATTGCAGGTGTGTTATGGCAAGCTAAAACTAAAACCTGCAGGACTCCGGACCTCCAGGACTGAGATTGAGAACCCTCAGCCTTCATGAATATATGAATTTAAAACAAGTATGTAGCTCTGTTGATATTTTAAAAAATCTAGATGTGGTTATATCTGTATGATGGGTGTGTGCCTGCATCTTGCACATGCCTGAACAAAAAAAAACGGCTCTTAATTTAAACTCTTATTCTCGTAAATGACGGCAAAATATTGCGTTCAATTTAATCTATGCAGTCATGAGAGATGAATGTATTTGTGATGTTGATGTATTTGTAGATAAATGCACTGAGAGGCACAGTGAACAGGCTTGTGTGTGACGGACCCAACGGCCTGCTGAACCTGAGTCAAGAAAAGATCAGCAGCCTTCAGGAGGAGGCCAGAGAGCGACTCATCAGGTACTCCGTTCTTCATTTTGAGACTCTCTGTGACACTCGAACATGTATAAAATGTTTGTGGATCTTTTATCTTCAGACTGTTCATCAAAACCCCTTCCAGACCAGAGTGCACGCCAGTGTACCATGACAAATTCAAGAAGTGGAACCTGGTAAGACATCCTGAATTCTTCTTTCAGTGAAGCAGCGATCATGGTTGACTTTTCTAGCCTGAGTTCATTGGGTTCTTCACCGTGTGCGTCATCAGGTGGATCGCTCTCAGCAGATGGAGATACAGGAGAAGGATGATGGCAAATCCAAAGGTGTGCTGTTCCAGCTGCATCCCATCACCTTACTGAACATGTGAGGAGCGTCTGACAGATGCAGCATTGCAGGTTTTGTTAGTTTTCAGTATTATCAGCAGATGACGCAGATGTTTGAATGTTTTGTAAATGTGCGGCATTTTACTTTTATCAATAATTTTTGTGTTACTTGGATAAGAGAATTTAAGTTGATGCAGTGGTTGTCTGTAAAAAAAATCTAGCTGCATTTTTTTTTTTTCATTTTAAGAAATGCACATTTTGATGTTACTTTAGTGTTTTATTTTAGTTGAGCTGTCCTTGCTGTAGTGTGATGGTTACAGTAAATCCTTTGTGTTCTGATTACTTGACTTTTATTTCTAATGCAGCTTTATTGTCTCAAACCTGGCTGAAATGCATATATGATGATCATTTATATTAATATAATGTCAAATATTAAATAGACATTTCATGCATAAAGATTTAAATTTACTCATCATGCTTTCAAATCTTTTTTTCTGTTAAACACAATAAAATATTTTAAAGAATGTTGTAAACCTGTAACCATTGACATGCATAGTAGGAAAATCAATGACTACCAGTTTCCAGCATTTTTCAAAATATCTTCTTTTGTGCACAACAGAAAAATGAAACTCAAACAGGTTTGTGTGAAGTGAAGAGGGAGTAAATTACAGAATTAAACATTTTTGGCAGAACTATACCTAAAAAAGGAAAAATAATATTTTCAATCACTCAGATTTATGTCAGAATTTAGAAAAATCTGTCATTGCAAATATCTTTGAGTTATAGCAATTTTTTTATTTGACTCTTTAAAGCAGGGGTCTCTAACTGAAATTGGCGGGGAGCATTTCAGTGACTGACAATTCATAGGAGAGCCGTTTTTTCATTCAAGTACAAAAGTGGAAACCTGATATAATTGATGTATCTTAGGACAACAGACATGACCTTTATTTTAAGCATTACCTGTCACCAGTGATGATGCAAATCAGTGTCTCACATCAGCTGTTGAAAAATGTGTGTTGTTGTGCGTATGACTGAGCATTAGACACATACTCAGTCATTCTTCCACAGAGTATATGCAGTCAAAACCTATTGTAAATATTAAAGGGTGAGTTTAAAATGCTATGAAAATATTACAGATAATGCATGTGTGTTACTCTCAACCGTACCCTGAGAGAAAATAAAGTAAAACTAATCTGATTGCAGTACTTTAAATGTCATCTAGGTGGTGGGTCAAAACCACAAGTGGCTAGACCAGGGGGGGCCAACCCCGTTCCTGGAGAGCCACCTTCCTGCAGATTTCAGTTGCAATCCATATCAAACACACCTGCCTGTAATTATTAGGTGGTGTTGAGGTCCTAATTAATTGGTTCAGGTGTATTTGATATAGGTAGCAACTGAAACCAGCAGGAAGGTGGCTCTCCAGGAACCTGGGCTAGACGCTACTGCACAACAAAGATTGAAATATATATGTTTTGGCGGGCCGAATCTGTTTAGATTTTTGATGTCAGTTGCAGGCTGCAGGGAGGAGGAAGGCGGGCCATAAATGGCCCATGGGCTGGCAGTTTGAGACCCCTACTTTAAAGCAAACAGTATAGATATTCTTTATAATTAAACATCAAACTCAAACCAGCATCACTTGCAACAGAGCCGGCAAATAAAGACAACGTCCAGACGACCAACCCTCTTACATTAAGGAACATTTATTTTTCTCATTCGTCAATTAAATACAGAGTGCAAATAGTTAAAGACTTTAAAATAACCGAACACTGAACATCGTACAAAGTTGGACAGAGTTTTAGTACAGCTGGAGCTCTGCAGTCTGACCATCAGATGCCCTAAAGAAGGACCACAAAGCTTGTCTTTAAACACCTACACGTGTCCCTACAGTTTCTGCAAAAATTACAGTTACACATTTAGTAATAACATCTCCAAATTATCATTGTGCTGGAATACACAGAAAGGAACCAAAAGAAAGAAAGAAATTCCACAATTCAACTTGATATTAATAAGTATGTCTGTACACAGAGCCACTCTACTGGTGACGGTGAATTAAGCGATTAATCGACATGGCAGCAGGAGATTATATGACAGGCATGATTTTTCATTTTTCGTGTCACGTTTTACAGCAGGAAATATGCACTGCAAAATAAAGCAGAGGAAGAGCACTGCAGAGATAACAAATATTTACTCAAGACTGGACTTCATGCACTTAAATCAGAAGCAATGGAAGAGAGAAACACTGTGTGTGTGCGTCCCTCTGTTATATCTATAGCTCTACAAATCGCCCACAAGGTGTCGTTTATGTGAATCTGTGTTAGCTATTTATGCAGGACTTCACCTGTGACTGGCAACGGATGGTGGGGGTCTTATCTGTGCCGTTGTACTAACATGACAATCTTTTTTTGTTGTTGTTGTTGCTTTTTTTAAATTTTTTTTAACTTTTTTTTTTTGAGGTGCTGTATTGGCCACCTATGTAGTTGGGTTCCTTCAGTGCTGGCAAAAGTTGTAGTTTTTACTGGCTATAGTGTTTACTTGTACAGAAGTGAAGAGTTTATTCCTTCTTTTTGGCCCCAGGAACCTTTTCTCTAATCCTGTAAAATAAACAGACAGACGGGTTGGTTAATCTTTTGTTAAAAACTGAATTTGAATCACTTTGATTTAGGCCCAGGTCATTTGTTTACAAGCAGTAATACAAAACTTACTTTCCCATTACTGAGTTAACCTGGGTGCGCACCAGTCCTAAGTATTGATCAATCTGTGTCTGAAAGAGAGAGAAAAAACAAGTGTGTGAGGATAAACAGCACAGATGTCAATAGTATCAATATTAAAGATGTATTCGCTGCGAGTAGTTTTTATTACCTGTGTACTAATTAGTTTGGGGGATCAAAACATAAAGTGTATATTTCACCACGCAATATCATTGGCCAAAAAAAGATGATACAGATGTTGTTAGAAAAACAACTTTGCTAAACTCTTTATTTTTGTTAAATCATAGCATAGACTGCAAAACAGGCTCTTGTGTTTCAGTTCCCAGATGTCTAGAACTTAAGTCCCCCAGTTAGAGCTTCTCTGTTAAAAATAAGATACCCAGAGTTTTATTTAATCTTTACAATCTGGCAACCATGATTAAATTAAAACGATCAAAATAAGATTTAACTTACTAAAACTAGAACAAATAAACAAAACTGGTCAGGAAGACTAATTATGATACAAACCAAAAAAAAAACATCTGATACATGGATCAGACCAAGTCTAAATTGGAAAAAAGATGATAAAATTATCTGGTCTTGTTAAGCTCCTCCTTTCCAAAAGTCTACTCCACTGATTGGTCAAACAGCTCAGTCCATTGTGATTGGTGTATCGGAAACGCATATTAGCACATTAGGGGGCTGTTTCATAAAAGTCGTTTAGAAAAGCGAGGATTAAAAACTTGACATTCCCGCTTAAATTGGTTCCATAATAGCAAGTTGAAAATCATTTGATCTAACCAATCTGAGTTAAGTTTAAATCTAGATAACTGCTCGTCCACGTTACTGTCGTGAACCCTGAAGGTAGAGCATAGATTCATTGATTATGTAGAAATTGGTATTTTTTTTATTTGCAATAACTTGTTTGAATTTAAATGTATTATTATCGTTCTATTCTTAAAAATGTTTGGTGTGTGTGTATATTTATATTTACTATTAAGCGACTATAAAGTTTTAATGATTATTAAGGGGTTAAGTGAATTAAAATGACATCAAAATATGGCAGGTGAATGTTAACATTACTTTGACTAAGCTTGAACTTAAGACTTAACCTGAGAAATAACCTGCCCTGGACTTATGCTAGTTTCCCAGCATAAGTTGCCAGAGTTTGAACTATCATAAATTTGATTTATGAAACAGAATCTGCCATTAATAAGCCTGACTTGTTTTCTAATCTTGTTTTGTGGAATAACTCCCTGAACTGCAGCTCTTCCTCAACACTTGCATACTCAGAGATATCGTAGGGCAACACGAGTCTTAAATAAACTGATTGGTTAGGGGGAAACATTACCTGGTACTTCTCGTAAACCACTGGCACACTAAACATGGAAATCACAGCTAAAAAAAAAAAGACAGAGGAGAGACAGAGTCAGGACAAACAATCTGCATGATGTCATTTGATGACAGCTGTTTGAGGTTAGAATACCCTGACCTACAGCAGTCAGATCACAGACCTTCCTGACCTGGAATTTTGAGTGTGTACTTAAGATATGGATGGATATCAGACAGCAAACAACTAAACAATAGAAACTGCTGAACATTACATAAACCATCATTTGTTTACTGAGAAATAGCCCTGATAAAGGAGAGAGGTTATTGAATTTTATTTAAAATTCCAAGATGTTTAGTAACTGTCTGCAACCACTAGTTTTGATCATTATAGTCAATTGACAAGTAATCGGATCAAAAATAATAGAAGTTAAGAAAGTATTTTATTTGGATTTTGTCAGAATGTGATTTAACTGCAAGGTGACTTTCCACATTTTAGGATGTCTCATATTTTGTAATAAACTACATGTTCTATGTGTTAAAACACGTCATTTTATTTAACTGTATTACTATTTACCATATTAATTTCTTATATATTTGATCAAATAAATGCAGCCTCTGTGAAGCATAAACTCTTAAACCAAACAACAACCCCAGTCTTTTCAATAGAAGTGAATGTTTGTTTTGTATTCTTACCCAGAATTAACAAGGTCAGGCCATTAAACAGAGCTCCAACATAGGTCAACAACCACATCAACACTGCAAACTAAACACACAGACATATGGTGTCAGGAAACAGATGCTTTAGTTGCCAAATTATCTTTTTGTTGCCAATTCGCTTTGAAAACTTTCAAAGAAGCAAACATTTCCACTGTCTAAACAATATTAGTAATAGTAAAATATCTTTAAAATGATATTCGTCTGTCTTTGCAGAACGATGAAGCTCAAGACCACTTCTCTATCAACCAGGGAAGAGTGCACTTATTGACCTTAATCTTTTACGTATAGTTGTTGGAACATCATTGGCTTGAGACTTCTGGTCTCATTAGCTTCCATTGATTTGTAGCTGTAAAAAAACGCTTGTTATGCTGCTTGATGTTGCAAATATTTTTTTCATATTATATTATTTATATTTTTATGTACTGTAATAATTGCTTGTAGAGAAGTAGTTTGTAGTTTGACTACTTATAAAGTAATTTGACTGTATTACAGTTCAAACTAATAACTAAAGAACTACAGGTTATTATTTCTAGTCATTCAACATGTTAATGTGCTTCCATACTGAAGAGTAAGGTCAACAATAGCTAAGTTTCCATCCACCTTTTTTTATGCGCATTTTCTATATGCCCCTTAAAAAGAAATCGGTAGATTGAAACGCCAAGAGGCGCATAAATTTTTTAAAATGTGCATAAAAAATCTATGCGCATAACTAAGTAGGATAAACTTTGTATTTGATAAGAAACGATGCGCATAAGCTATGATGGAAACCCTTTTTTTACTGAACAAATAGCAGTATGCGCCAGGGGTGTCGAAAGGAGCTTAGCCCAAGGAAGTCGTGAAACGTGAGTGATGTATGTGCTAATTTTAAATACTTGGATAACAAAGCCCCATTACTGTCTTCTGAGGTGCATGTCATTTATTAAATGAAGCAAAGATTCTCCTGCAGCTTCTTCAATTGCAGTAAATTTCGTTTTTACTGTCAATAATTGGCACCAGTTAATCAGCAAGTGCCGATTTTATTCTCTTTGACTCCTTCGATGGAATCGTGACTATTCCAGTTTCGCGCATAAAGATTATTTTTGGATGGAAACATAGCTAATGATACTAAAGATCATCTGCATACAAAATGGCATATTCTCATTTTGAATAAGTATTTACTGTATTGACCTTGATCTACAATGTGCAAGTGTGCTCTTTTTTTACATTATATTTTATAGTACTTTCGATTCAGTTGGGAGGAATTATTATTAATATATCAGTTTGCAACAACAAGCACAAAACGAGCTGTTTTTAAAGAGGAAGTGAATGAGAGCGGAAGTCTCAAGCCATAAAGATTCCAATGGCTGTGCCTGCTCATACGTCAAGAATCAGGTCAATAGTAGTGTAGTGTCCTTTTTTAATGCAACAGTAGTCATGAGTTTGACAAAAATAGAAACAAAATATTCATGAGTGAAATGTTCATAGCCATTTTTCACCTTAATGGAGTCGACCAGATCTTGAACCAGGAACAGCCTGCGGAGCTCCTTCATGGTGGTATTGATGTACAGTTGAGTCTTGTCCACATACTTACTAATCTGATCAGCAGAAAGAGAGATTTCCACCTCCAGATAGGACCTGATAAGAGAAAGCCATGAGAGTGGAAGGATCTACAAAATCTGGAATCTACAAATAGAAAAGACGCTGGACTAACTTGAATGGATGGCCCTCATCAGTTTTCTGCACTGCCTGCAGGACTGATTTGTAGACTCGGAAGCTGATGGTAGCAGAGAGGACAGCCAGAGCCAGATACGCTATAACACTCACCACACTGAACTGGGTTAAAGAGAAGAGCAGCAGCAGCACACTGCCAAACACCAGTCCAGACTGCTTCAGATCCCGCCAGTGTACTAGATCTACCACTGAGGAGAAAGACAGACAGAAAGAGAGAGAAGAACATGAACATAATTAGAACATGCTTCATTAAAACTAGAGTTCAATCCAGCCATCAGTTCTCATCCTTGTGCTGAAATATTACAAAGAGATTCAAGAACTTGGACTTGCTCTGTAAATCATTATGTAGATATCTTATATTACCAGCTGCTTAGTATTTACATTGTACATGGTCACGTTTACAGTTCTAACAGGAACCTACTAGATGTGCGGATGAAAAGACTTCTACAATATACATTTTGCTTGGCCTTCTTGTTTACAAACAAAATGGAAAACGAGTCAATTAAAAGTTCTTACATGACTACACTACAGACTATATACAGTAGTCAACATTTTAAGTGGGTCGAAAAAGTTTTTCACAGTTGTCCAAATACAAGAATGGGTGTTGCTGAATAGTTTTAGGACAACTTTGATGGAAGGTATGAACCACTTCAAATGTTTAATACTGTATAATGACCCATTTTTGACTAGGGCCCTATCCCAATAGTACCCCTTAGTCCTTCTCAATTCTCTTTAGCTTAAAGGCGTAGGGCTACGGGGAAGGGCTATATACAGTACCCCTTCAAATGGAGGACTACACTCAAAACCAAGAGGGTAAGAAAAATTCCCAGAATACACCAGCCACAGTGGCAGCATGGCTGCACCCAGAAGTAAGGAGATCCACAAGTTAGTTTTTTTTTTTGTCATTACTACGAATCTTTACAACAAGCACATGTTTTAATACATTCATAACCGCGTTCATGTTTTACTGTCATGCTTTAAAAAAATAATAATAATTAAAATAAAAATCGCTAAATTTCACTCTCTATAATCCATAATAATTACTTCTGTATAGTAGTCCCGCAACATTCTGTCACTCAATGACACTCGAATACCCTGTCAGTAAAGTCTAGAGTTTGTTTTACAGTGTCTGCTATAATGTTAATGTTGTTTTTTGTGTGTTTACATAGATGAATATGGCCACAGTGTAAATGCACAGTATAGTCATGATCTTATTGCCACATTGTTATGATAACATAATATATGCCTTCAGTGATTTCCTAATGGTAAATACCAAAGAATAATGCAACTGGAATAACTACAACAGTCACAATCGACTGATCTCATATGAAGCAAGAGATAGTGATGACATACAGTATGATGACGTGTGCAGGTGTTGTACTGCTGTCACACTCTTAGGGGTACATTTTGAAGCCCTTCCCCTTCACACTCTGTTTTAAGGGCAAAGTGAAAAGGGTACAAAAACAGGATTGGTATTTGGCCTAAATGTTCAGTTCACTGTTACTGCACATTTATAACCGTACTTACGAAGTTTTAGGAGGGCAATGGAATCAAGACTTTGAAAGATATTTAGTTTTCTTATAGCAAGATAGATTCTAAAATTTTGTGTTTTCACTTTTTTTTATCTGGTGAATATAATTCTAAAACATTGTGTTGTGTTCCATAGTAACATTTAAAACATCATTTATTTATAATTCTTGCATTAAAGTGAATAAAATCAACACACAATAGTTTTCACAATCACTATTCATCTATAACCTGCATACAAAAATTGACCTACTTTTACTAATATATTAAGGAACAACTGATTACCGCACACACAAAAACCATACACTCTGAACGGTAGAGAATTGGCAGTGAGATAGCTTAAGCTTTCCATAAAAACTGAAATATGCTCATCCACAGCTCGACACAAGATATTTATTGTCTTTGAACTAGTTTTAAGGATGACATAATTTGGATTGTTTGAGGATCATGCTGCACATGCATTTATGAAAATGACTAACCTCAGGCACATCTTCACAACATGGAGTTAGTAGATTAGTGTAGTAGATTTTACTGCAAGGCTTTAAAAAAAGTATGTTCACCATAGAAATCTCAACATTTTCCCATACAAATGTGACTTAAAAAAAAAATCTACAAGTCAGGTTTAAATTCTCATCAAATGTTCCTTGACTGTAGGAATCCAGCATTTTCCATCAAGAGAAAAAGTGTAACCTTGAGACTATCAGGTCACACCTGTCTACCTCTCACAGCACCGGTTATCAACTTATCTAACCCTAACCATCTGTGTGCGCACACTCTACTGGGTTAATTATTGCTGCTGGGTAAGACAGTACAAATAGTTCCATTATCAGAAGTGCTGAAATGTAATGAGCACTCAGAGTAAGCTATAGTAAAAACCTTCACCAAACCAACCAGCACTTACAAATAGCAGTGAAATGGAAAGGGTGAAAGAGCTTTAAAGTGCAGGCTTAGTTTTAGTAACTGATCAAACATATAAATGAAAATTAGAACAGATTATAGGCAAAACCTAGTTCACACATAACCTATCCTCCCTCTACTCTGGGGGATTGAATTTGTTTCTGCACACCCTTATAGCCATGTGCCATCTTAAGTTACAGGGTAATTCCCACTGGATCAGTTTAATGTTAAGTGTCTTGCTTGAGGATCACCCCTTGCAGGGTTCAAACCTTTTAGTAACCAGCTCTGACATGCATCCAATAATTATCCAGACACAAGCTGTACAACTAGCGTTTAAACCAAATCAGCACCACTGTTTTCCTGTCAACTAACCAGTACAACATCACTGGGAAAGTGTTGGGCAGTCAGTGTATATACAATTAACAGATTAAAATGAACCACTCTCAAAAACTAAATATAACTTGTTATTATGGGTCAGAGCTTACTGTTACTGCTATAAATCACATTCCACAGAAAGCCAGAGCATATAATTGCTGTCAACATGCATCTAAATGGCTTGCATTTATATTTTGTACTACCACTCTGCATTTGCATGTAGCCATACGGAGTGCTTACATTGGTGGATGTCATCCTAAACCAGTAGTGGTAATCTTACTGGTGGTGGATGAGGAGATTTCCCCCCAAAAATGTGTAAAGCGCTATATACATAAATGTAAAAAATTATTATTATTATTAAAGGTACATTACAAAACAAATTTAGACAAATTTTAAAAATATGCTTTCGCCTTTCATTTACATGACATTAGAAATGTGGTGACGCTCCACACTACCGGCCTGCCATGCATATGCCAGTATTTTAGTTTCGATATATAGTTACGGATTTCTTTAACTGATTTTTGTAATTGGATTTTTTTAATGTTATCAACAGGAATTACTTTTCCATTATAACATAAACCATTGTTGTGTAAAAAAAGCCTTTTGTTTGATTAAAAGTTCAGGAATAATTTATAATTATCGGTTCTGAAAACTTGAACCAATAGGAAACACCATTTCCCCCCCATATGCATCAGACACTTTCTTCTAAACACTCCATTTTACAAAGACTCAATAAGATAACAAATAATAATATTAATTTATAAATAAAACAGAATAGATATCACCTTTTAGAAAAATCACAATATACTAAATTATTATAATTATAATTAAATCTAAATTAGATTTTTGTGACTTTATTTTGGTCAAAGAAATCTTGCACTACTATCAAACAAACCAGCAGTGGGAAACACTATTTCCTCTCCATATGCACCAGACACTTTCTTATAAACACTCCATTTTACAAAGACTAAACGAGATAACAAAAAAATGACAATAAAATGTAAGAAATAGAATGGATATGACTTAAAGTAATTTGCAGTTCTACAATATAAGGTACTTTAAGTTTATTTTCAACTTTACAGCAGTACTGTCCACCCCACGCACACATAATTTTGATTGTAATGTAATAAACACACACTAGAGATGATCCGATCAATCTGCGGAAGATTGGTATCGGCTGATAATCACATTTAATGACTCGATCAGTACTCACCGATGAGGCTGATCTCATGAACTGATCACAAGAGTTTGTGTTAGCTGGAGATGATGAGCAAAATATTTGAATGACCGCGCATGTATTTATGCCTTTTTACATATAAGAACTAAAAGAACTTCTGTGTTTTTGACTATTACTGCAAGTTCACTAAAAAACGGCTGGAAATATTACATAAATAAAACATATAGTTTCGGTACTATATATCCGTATAGTATACGATATTTTTGTATACTATATATACCGATATTTTGCAGCTGATATCGGTACTCGATATCAGCTGCAAAAATTCTGATCTAACGAACACCTTTAGTAAAGCTACTTTAAAACAAGCACTATTGTGAAAAGCGCTACACAAATAAGCTTAAATTTAATTGAATTACAATACTTAGACTAGTCTATGCAGCAGCACAGTGGGTAGCAAAATTGCCTCACCGCAAGAAGTTTGCTGGTTCAAGCCCCGGCTGGGTAAGTTGGCATTTGTGGAGTTTGCATTTTCTCCCTGTGTTCGTGTGGGTGCTTCAATTTTTTCCACAGTCCAAAGACATGTGCTTTAGGTAAATTGGGTAAGCTAAATTGTCTATAGTGTATTGATGTTTCCTAGTGATGGGTTGCAGCTGGAAGCATCCGCTGCGTAAAACATATGCTGGATAAGTTGGCGGTTCATTCCGCTGTAGCGACCCCAGATTAATAAAGGGACTAAGCCGAAAAGAAAATAAATGAATAAACACAAGTCTATGCAAGTTCGTTCTAATAACGAGGTGTCATAACCAGGCAGGTCTAACACCCATGTGTGCTGGTGGACATCTCAGGACTAGGCTTTCTTCTCTGGATAAAACATATTCACCTTTCCATCTTTCTTTAAATATCACAAAGATGAAATATAATTGTTAACTTGTTGCCATGAGAACCAGCAGATTGAGATCTCTGAGTCATCTCTTCAGTCTCTGTAGCAACATGAGCCTCCTGTAGCAGATGTGTGTTCCCCTTTTATTTTTACACCTGTATTTTTACACCTCTGGTTGCAGCTTGGGGTGAAACTGTTACACACACTAACAGGAGCTGGTTCGTCACACTCTAGCGTGTGCATGACATCTGTAGTCCCCTGTGTGATTCTCCCATCGGTCCCGCTGGGCTAAATTTAGACCGGCAGAGCTTAGAGGAGGGCAGAAATAT